ATATTTAATTTTTATACATTGATGATATTGTTAATTACATGATGATACAGAAATGGTAAGGACATTGATGACAATTGACAATTGATTTGATAGTTTTAATGATAATGTATAATAGTCATAAATATAATGTCGATAATGATTGTACAATTAATAATAATAAAAAGGTAATCATATATAACAATGATAAAATAATAATTATTTATGTTAATTTTAAAGTAATGATGATGAATTCAATAATGTTCATTAGTAATTTTAAAATGTTATATTGATTATCAATAGATTGTTATTCAGAAATTATTGATGTTACTAAAATTAACCATTACTGTACTAGATTTTTGGAATTCATCTGGAAATGTAATCAATTTATAATTTGTATTTCTGATGTTTATTTGAACTTTAATTGCTTTTTATATTAAACTTTGTCGGTTTCATATGATTCTTGCATCTCTATTTATATGCACATAGTCATAACACAAACACATTTCTCTTTACTTTTCCTATTTGTTCCGGGTTGATTGTTCACTTCTGGTAAATGGTTTTCTTTAACATGTGTACAATAATTTCAAATGCTCTGTCACATACATAACTAGCTTAGATATAGATTATGTTATGTATGTGTTAGCAATTAGGATATTCAAATGAAGCGATAGAGACTAAGTTTGGGCAACTTAAATACACAGAATAATAGTCATATTGGTCCGTGTGTGTTCTAATATGAGTTAGACAGTAGAACACTATAATTTATTCAGGGAACGAATATTTCGTCTTGTACTCAAAGCTTCATCAGTGTAACTTATTATTAAGTAGCCCCAGTAAGTTATTGCCCATTCTAGACATGTAAACCGATTTGAAGAAGAGAATAGAGTGTATAAATATTGATAGGAATTCATAACAATAAACTATGTTGAGTGAAAAAACTTTGCTAAATAAGCTAATGTTTTTAGAATGAATTCACTGTCTACATTTAGGAATTTCTGACAGGGAACAAATCTGTGGATGCATTTAGAGTAGTCACCCCTCTGCTGGACATCATCAGAATAGTTATTCTTCTACTGAACTTTATCAGAATAGTTATCCCCTCGGCTAAACAGCATCAGAATGCTTACTTCCTCTACTGAACTTCATCAGAAAAATCACCCTTTTGCTGAACATCAGAATAGTTATCCATCTTTTAAACTGTTGAAAGATATTCACCCCTCTGCTGGACTTCCATCAGAATAGTTATTCTTCTACTGAACTTTATCAGAATAGTTACCCCCTCTGCTAAACAGCATCAGAATGGTGACTCCCTCTACTGAACTTCATCAGAAAAAGTCCCCCTCTGCTGAACATCGTAACTGTTTTCAACAGAACGTCATCAGAATTGTCACTCCCTCTGTTGTTGTTATATGCTGAATTTTATCAGGAAAATTACTCCCTCTTTCTGTTGGACTTCATCAGAATATATATTAATGCTTGCGGTACACCACGTGGATAGTTCTGAAAAGAACTGTTGCTGTTGGTTGAGAATATTTTGACATTTCAATTGAGTTGCTTCAGTCGTCTTCAGGAGAATAATTTCTGAATAGCGAGTCGGCCTAGCCCTCTCAATATCTGGATAGTCATCAGAATAGCTACCCCTTCTGATTTACATCCCACCCTCCACTGAATGTCATCATAATATCACCGCCCTCTGTTGAATTTCATCAGAAAGATCACTTGTTTTCTGAACGTCATCACTTGTTGCATGGAGCCATGAGGTATTAAGAGCAAGATGCAAGTAACATTTCAATAACTCATCCTCCTCCACAGATAGTCGGCCTAGCCCTCTCACTAATCCTGTACTACCAAGTGAAGGGAGCGGAACAGTAGTCAGTCATTCAACTCATTTCATACTGTGAGCCTAGGAATGCGCATGCATGTATGGTCATAAATTGTGTGATTTGCATGAATAATCATCTATATTTAAATCCAATTCATTGGTTTGATGAAATTTGATATTTTGTTTATACCTGCTCAGGTGTTGTTGCATGAGAGATTACAAAATATAATTTAAAAATTCCAATCATTTTTGATGTTCAAGTGTTTTTTTATGGCATGTGCTTGTCATTTAAATGCAAATTTAAATAATTATAAAAACAAGTAAATTGATATAATAAAGAGGATAATGCATGCATGTTGTGTGATTGTCATGAAAATGTTGATTGTTGAATTGTCAAATGAGTAGAAGAAAAAAATGAACTGAAATGATTTGTATACCTGGTCATGTTATTAATGTTTGTGCATTAAACATACCACTCAACATCTGCAACCAGTTGTAAGTTTTGTAATTGGCGGAAAATTTAATATTTCGATAGGGAAATATTTGATAAATTGACCCAATCAGACTGGTGAGGGTAATAATACAATTTCAGTGAATACTTGAGGAGGTTCCTGGGAATTCGAGCCCTTGGATTACAGCTGCTGGATTCTGACTCTAACTCCTTTACATGCCATGGACTTAGAGGTGTGGATGCACTCCCCCACCCCCTCCCCCATCCCCATGGTGGCAAGTTAATTCCAATGTATCAGTTAGAACACTAAAAATGACCACATGAAGTTTTCACACCCCAGACTGTTTTGTCCCCCCCCCCTCCACTCACCCGACCAAAATCAGCCTATGCCCTGCATGCTGTATATTAAGTTGAAGGTAAATCTGCGTCTGTTGACCTTATTGTCCCACCCAAAATAAACAAATCTTGGAGTTTAGTTTTCAACAGTTATAGAGGGATGAGTTGCAAAAATTGTAACGTAGATGCATGGAAATTTAAATACATATCTTTCTTAATAATGATGAGAATATATGTTCCTTCTCAACAGATTCTTGGCATGGTGTTTGCCATGGTTCTCTACACACAAATACGAAATCAAGGCGAATTTGCATAAACAAAACCGGAATCTCTCCATCTTCTGCACTAGTAATCGGGACAACTTGCAACTTTAATCCGAAAGCCAACTAATAACCGCAAAAAAAATAAAAAGGATTTCTACCGGGTGTCTTTGGTGTTCTATTTACGTTTTGGAAAGTAACATTTTTATAAGGTTGCAGGAATGGGGATATGTGTGTGTGAGATAGGTAACAGGGTAGGGTATGCGTTTCTCGGTGGACATTAACATTGAAGTAGGTAGGGTACAATCGGTACAACTGTATATTAACCATCTACTGCTGAAGTTTAACTAACATCTAAATTTACAATTCCTGCTTTTTTAACAACTGAGTTAACCATAGTTTATAACTATCTTTTGCTTTATTGATATACTGTAAGTAAACTATCAAATTGTGAGGGCGCCCTTTCATATTTTTTTCTTACAGCTTGTTGGAATGTTTTTCAGTTGTATTTTGTATCTGCAAACTAGGAAGTAAAATGTCTCACAACTCACAACAAGTTAATAGTATTCATCTCTTGGATAGCTTGCCTGAACTTGCCTTAACTGGGCTTGGAACAATTTTATTTGTTTTTAAGAATATAAAAACATGTTTGTAATCTTAGTTTAGCTGTGATGAGATTATGTTATTACAGATTTTGCATGCCGTAGGTTTGTCTTCCGATGTAGATTTTAGAAAATATAACGAACAAAATTCCATTCAGAGGTGCAGGGTTGGCTGTAAATAAGGTTTCTTTGAAACTCTATGCCCGTCTTAAAAAGAAAAAAAAAGTTTTTTAGCTTTTGTTTTTACAAACATTGTCATCTATTTTATAGATAGAATAAATAACTTTTCCATTCTACTAGATTTCTAGTTTATTTTTTACTATTTTCTAATACTGTACATGTTTATGAAATCAAATCATGTAAATTTTTAAATTCTTGTACCTTGTTCAACAAAACTACTGACAATATCTGTCTTAATTTTATACATCTATATTATTTATTTGTTAGTGCTTTTTTCTTCTTTTTCAGAAATGTACAAAACTTTATATATAACATCAAACTATTTTATTTCAGTAGTATTGATATGACTGAAGACAGTTAAATGTTTTTTTTTTTTGGTTTTTTTTTAATGTCTGATTTTGTACATTTGAGTGTTTGTACAGTTTGGGAAGAAGATACAGCATATTAGTTTCAATAGAATTTTAATTTCAAATGTAAATATTAACATTGTTATGTAGGATTGTGACATTGAATAAGCTGGTTCAATCGGAGGACATTAGCTCTGAGTGAATGAACTTCCCTAACTCAACTACAAACATCGGCTTGCGTTCATTTTATATATATATTTCATATCCATTGTTTGTGATGTCTCTATTAGAGAGAATTTAATACATGTTAGAAGCAAAGAGAGAGGGGCATTTTGAGGACTACGCCAAGACAACATCAAACATGAACATGTTACCAACGCATCCCACAATGCATCTGAAAAGATCAACCAATGAAAGCAATGGAATTACATCTTTATAATAGCACAATGTCTGCTTTAAGAATCCCAATACAGATTGGTTTTGGTAATATGTTTGAAACCTTTCTCTTTGCTTTAAACATTCCCAAGTATCTGTAAGCCTTTACATCAGAAAATTGGTCATTATTCAGAAATGATAATAAAGAAAACATAGACATTTATTTTCATCTTGCTTTATTTGGTTTTGTTATACCATGGTTATACTTGTCTTTATGAAGTACTATACTAATGAATAATTACATTGATATGAAATATTAAATACTATCTAGAATAATATTAATTTGCCTAACCAAAATTTTATTTTTATTGGCAACTCCTTATGTTGTGGTCTAAAAGCCACACCAAGCCATAAAATCTCAACCCATGAATTTTTATTCCAGGACCCTGATCAAGGCTCTAGTCAGCCCCTTGTTCGAACCCTGCTGTGGCACATTTCTGGACTAGCCACTGTTGAGGAGCCTCCGAAAAATAATAAGCTTACTTATTTTCTTTCTTAACACAAAAAAGTATATAAAAGGAAATAGTAAGGTTTACTGTATTATATCTAATCAAAAATAAAAATATTGCATACAAAAAATAAAATTTAAAAAATTTTGGAATAGATTTAAATAGGGAAAATGTAGTGTTAATTTTACAATGCCATGAACAACTAAAATAGTTGTGATCTGTTTTACTGGACTAAGTATTATGCAAGTCTGGATGAATTAAATAAAATATATAAAATAAGAACATAAAACCTAGTATTATTTATGATGCAATAATAAAAATAATAATAAATGAACATTTATAATGGAGCATTCACCTGTCTGAGCATGGTCTGAGCTATAAGCCAAGGTAAATTAAAAAAAAATCAATAAAAAACAAAAGAAACGTGAATACCAATTATAGTGACATTTGGCACAGATGACCAGGATGGGACTCCACCATCTGATAACGAAAACAGCGTCGCTGTCACACGTTAGACAGTATGCTGGGTTCCAGTATCTTCCACCTTAGGATAAGCACTTGGCTCCACTATTGTGCACTGCCCAAAACTGGCCACCAAGAAATGAGTCCAGAGACGACAAGATAATGGTTAAAAAGAGCTGAAAAGATGCTTTTTAAGTGCTTTTTTAAAACAATTGAGAGACAATGACATCTTATATAACAGGTTCAGGTATATGGTTCCATAAATTGGGTGCTGCCAACACAAATGCGTGCGTGCCCTAAGATCTCTTGTTACGCCCCTAAAGTATTGAGTAGTTGCATAGAATCAATCGATCAAAGAGATGTAAGGAGGTATTAAGTCTGATAAATAGATGGTGCCTTGCCAATTGAACTGCGATATGCAAGGAAAAGGATTTTAAGTGCAATGTGCACTTAAAATGCCACATTCTCTAAAAAATAACATTGTATTAAGTAAGGTAGGCCTATGCACAAAGCATGATCCCATTATTACAGGATAGGGTAATATATTCATCAGTCCAGTGGCGTAACACCTATGGGCTCTCGGAGCCTACAGTCTAAAGGGACCAACCACCCTAGTGACCCGGGGGCCCTCTCACTAACAGCTAGCACTCTACTACTGTCACGTATGGTTCAAAAAGGGAAGATAACGTTCAGAGATGCTAGATAATAAAAACAAAGTACTCCGGACACAGCATCAAAGTAGTCAATGTAATAGTTTAATGGTTATAATTATCGGTTGATCAAGCCGAACAACGTGCCACATAAGACAAATCTACCATGGATATTCTTATGAATACTCCGGTTACTTAACCCGGACTATACACTGACTATGTTTTCTGAACCAAACAAACTATTTTAACGTCTCACAAGATAAATTATTACGTTCACCAAGACGAATCATACCTCACTATAACTGAGTGGCCAGTTAATACCATACATAGGCAATATATGAGTACACATAAACAATTATTCCGAGTGGCAATAGAATAATACCATACATGGGCTATATCAATATATGAATATACATTAATAATTATTCCGATTGGCAATAGAACAATACCATACATGGGCTATATGAATATATGAATATACATTAATAATTATTCTGATTAGCAATAGAACAATACCATACATGGGCTATATCAATATATGAATATACATTAATAATTATTCCAATTAGCAATTGAATAATACCATACATGGGCTATATCAATACATATGTTAATAATTATACAAGAAAAGATACAATGTCCGAGTTTGCTGTTGAGCATTTATAATCGGTAGACGATCTATTTTCAACCACGATTTATATTCCAGTAGCTATCCAGTGCTAAAACTGACTACCAGGTTGTATCTCGCACAACACGCAGTACCATTCCGCATTGGCTAACATATGCCTTTCCACACAAACGGTGCCGATATGGGATCTTTCTGTCCAGTGACCAACCTAACTGTATTTCCTATACAATGCAACTCGCATCACACGTGTTTGCATAAATTAACGTCATCGAACTATTGTTAATTAAATAGAATTAGGGCAGGTGTATTTCTAAGGCATCCCTCGATTATGCACACGTCACGCTCAAATTATAGCTACCTGGATTACCTAGCAACACTGTTACGACCCACACGTCCTACAGTCACAACTACAGAGCCTTACAGTCCAACACCCTAAACTAATAAATTAATAAAATATACTTCCTTAGTTTTAAATTATGTGTACTCCCATGACAACATTTATATACATGAATACAAATTCCTGGCTCAATGGCATCCCATTAGTATAGGTATTTTTAGCCTTAAAATTCATAAATATTTTAAGGTAGGGAGGTATTCATTCAAATACCATCCCCTCTTCCATTGTTGACACTTGCATATCGGGGCCTCATAATTCATTCTACCCCTAAATCGTCCTTGCGCTACACATCAGTCGAAATTTGCAATAATCACGCCACTCTAAACTACTGTATGCACTTCTCTCAGATAAGTCGCATTCAGGTGTAAAACATTTTTCATTTACAATAATTATACAAAAATATACTTCTTGATATTCATAAGAAAATATAAAATATAACATAGTTACAAACACATTGTAGTACTGTAAAATCAATTTGTGTTAGTTTTGCCAATCAATCAATCAATCAATCAAATTAGACAGTAGTTCCTTGACAGCTAGATCCTAATCCAGCAGTACATCCGAAGCAATGACTGTCGGTCACTATTCTCAGATCCTCCACTTCAGATGTTGAGTTGATGTCCCAGATGGAAGGCCCTCTATTGCCGGTATGTTCATTTGGTGAAGCATTACCTGTGGAGAAAAGAAAAGGTATTTGTACTACATTATAAAATATTTTATTAAATTAGCATTATATTAGTACAGATAGCTCAGTATCAGGCAAAGAGGTAAATTTAGGACAGTTTATTTTTCAAATTCCAGTCAAACCATTGCTACCTTTATTTTCTAAAGCGAACCCTTCTGATAAACCCAACCATCCACCTCCCAACCCCTTTCACCACGTACATGCTAGAATATTTCAGCTCCAGGGAGCTTCAAGACATAACTCCCTGCTGAGGCTAGGCCCCTGGACACAAAACGAAACAAAAGAGGGTTTAGGCAAGTGGTAGCACAGAGAAGTGGTCGCATAGAGAGTGGTTGCACGTAGAGCTGTATCAGGGGCGGATTTAGGGGGGGCCGGCCCGGCCCCAGCCCCTCCCCTTTTGGGAGGTAAAAAAAAGAAAAGCAACACAAACGCAAAAGAAACGCAACAACGCCTCAAATGTTATTTTCGGGCGTCTAGAACACAAAAATTTTGCGGGGGCATGCCCCCGGACCCCCTGGGTCATTGTTGTCTCGATCGGCCCAAATTTCCGCCCCCCCCCCCTCGGTTTGGACATCTCTGGATCCGCCCCTGTGTATAACTGTATATTATCTCAGTAGAATGAAATGGCCACCTTGACTTTTCACTTTTCTCATCGGCATGTCCAATTGCTGGTTGAAATCGCAATCAAATAGGTTTCCGTCCCAGTTAATGTTGATGTAATTCCGACACATCAGTCCTTCCATGCTGTTTCCGTTGAAATTACGTACCAGTAGATGCATGTAATCTTTCAGCTCATTTCTAAAACAATTCAAACAAATGGTGTTGAAAATAAGAAGAAATAGAATATTTTAAATTTATTATAAATTCAAAACACCAACAATAAAATACAAAAATTATAAATGACAATGCAGTGAAGTACAAAATGACAGGTTATGGCTTGTCTAGAAAAAAAATAATCGTCTGTAAGCCCTAACATCGGAGTGAATTTTCTCTAAACCACTAACCTGTAAAAAACAAAAAAAAAACATACAGAAGAATTTTTTTAAATATATAATACACATTAATCTATAAATATTTGACATGGTTAATGTGTTAATAATAGAACTTTCTTCCTTATAGCCAACTAGATTTTAATAACTTTTCAAATATAGAACAGCGAGGAAATAATTGCAAAATGCGGAGATGTATAGAAATGTCGGTGGGAATCATTGGTGTCTTTAAGATATACATTCGCGGGGGTGGGGGGGGTGTGGGAGGTGTCTGACAGGTGCAGTAAAAAAATTTACAGTAAAAGTTTGTGGTGAAGCCCAGGTTAGGTGCTGACAAAACTCCAACAAAGAATATTAAATTTTTTGGGTTTGATGATAGCTAGACAACTTTAGGCATCATACAAAAAATTGGAAAGATGGAAATCGAGGCAATAAATCTACCTAAACTGATTCAATGGATCCTAAAGCATGGGAAAAGGAAGTGTGGGAAAGCTCACCTTGACCTCAGGTACATTATGGATTTATTTAAATATGACTTGGACTCACAGCCTCAGACTCAAGGCAGCGATGAAGGACAGGAAATGAAGGTCTTTGTGGATTGGAACGTTATTTTTTCCTGAGTTTCATTTATGTGACATTATTATTATTATTATTATTATAAAGCATTAATATAGCACCTTTACAAAAAAAAGATCAAAGCGCTGTACATAAAAACCTATTTTTATCTCTAGAAACACTTGGCTGATGGATTAATCTGATAGACTAATATTGTAGATACCTGTCTCTTATACACATCTAGATGTGTATAAGAGACAGGCTCAGTATCAGGCAAAGAGGTAAATTTAG